AAATATTGCAACTTTATAGCATTTTTTGGAAAATTTTATTCAGTCACGGTATATCAATATTGTAAGATTTTATTTATAAGCCTATGTTGGAGATCTAGTACCGACATATCGCGATATATTTTGTGATATATCGACATTTGTACGCTATATCACAAAATGGTATAACATGACGTTATAAAATTAATAACTCCACCCAGAAATTCGTAATCACTTTTAAGACATTAGATTCATTATTTTTCAACAATCTTGTGTACCGAAAATGTGGGACTTTCAGGAATATGTTTAACAGGGTGAATATGGCTCCAATATATTCTACACTTGCGCAGCAAGCACTTCGAAAATCGAATTAGAAAGAGAAGATAGTTTTCTATCTAACCTCCTTTAGACATCTTTCATCCTTGTATTGTCTTTGCCATTTCTCTAAGCTCTATGGTTTTTCCTCGGCCCATCGTTTACCTGGAAATTCCTCGACCTCGAGTAATTGTTTTGGCCCTTTGGAGTGCAAAATGCACCCCTTAGGAACGTTTCACTGTTTTTTTTTTTTTTTCCCAAGTTTGTGTATACCCGTGTTCTCCGGGCGTGCAGACTGTTGGAAAAATAAAGAGCAAACCCTCCGCAGAGGTGCAACGTGACTCGGCTCAATTTCAAGGAAAGAAAAAAGAAAGAAGGGAATAGTACAACGTAAGGGGAAAGCGTAATACAAAAAATCTAAACATATTGCGGCATAATGCTGCATAAGGCAACCGCTCTCGAGTGCGTATACTCCCTGGGTCACGTACCTACAGGTACCAATGAAAACACATAAGTACACTCCGCAAATCGAAACATCTTCGACAGCCATAAATATCCATAAAATATCCCCTTACCTTCTTCTTTTACAACTCGTATTATATGTTTGTAGGCCGTAAAAAGTGTACAAATCACCGTGAGTACTTCGATGCTATAAGTCGGATGGACAGGTTAGTCATATCCTGTTTATTCATTCGAAAAATTTAGGCAATGCTGCACTAAAATACGTCGAAAAGTACAATTGAATTTTTATGGTACATTTAAGACGCGCTCCATATTAAGCAAGTCCATTACAAGCTTGAACCGGAAGTTGTAATGAAGGAATTTCAATGTCCCCTACTCAATATGTAATTAACAATACATACTCATGTTATCCTTAAGTCAAAGAAATTGAAATCGAAAAGATGAGATTAGGGAAAACAGGAGGACGATTTTATCAACATTGGGATTTGCAAGTCTGTTTTTTTTTTTTTTTCATCGAGTTCCAGTTATTTTCAATAATATTATTTTTCGAGCAGTCGTGGTGAATTTACGCGATCATTTCAGGATGTCATGTATGATCGATATGTGCCTAACATGATGTATTGTACTATATTCGTTTGTCTGGATGCACATACGAAAACAAAATACGCGCAAATGCGAGGATATAATGTACAATTCTATAATGTAAAGACTATCGTTTGGAGGTGTGAATTTTCGCAAAGTACAGGAATGGCGGAAGGGGAAGAGTCGCGTGTTGCGTGAAGGTGATATTCGACACGCGTGTGGTACCACCTGTGTGTATTATTGCTGATCTCTCAATTGGTCAACTTCAGCAGTGCGATTTTATTATATTGACGTAATTCGAGGTACCACGAGCACAAATCACAGTGGGTGTTGGTTTGCACGAAAGGAAGTCATAAGAGATTCCCGACATTGCGCGTGGAATTCAAGAAATTCAATTGTCTAACTTTATTTCTGCGACAAACGGTGTACAATGACACTTCGGTTAAGCGTTCATTAATTTTAATAACGATTATTTCAAATACTGGGCCGTTGATTATGTTCCAGAAATATACAAGTATTCTCATCGCGCTTAATATCACTTTCCAGATAATTATGATTTCCACGGCAAATTCATGGCATTACTCTTTCTTTATCCCTTTTTATTGACTGCATGCTTCGAGATGTGAACCGCATGAAAGAAGTGAGGATTAATGTTTTCATTAGGAGTTTTCATAATGAATATCCGGATGTGCTAGTTTCACACGTGCACATTTGGGAAAGAAATTTGAATATGTGTGTGTATGAATAGCACGTGCTTCGAATGCTCATCACGCGGCTTCGTATAGTCGACTCGTGTGGTGGCGAATCAAAAGTGCGGAGGTGAATTTTTCCCTGGCATAAGTGGATATATGCGAACGAGAGCTGGGAATCACGCGACTCGTGCCAGTTTGACTATTGCTGAAGACAGCGCTTTCGAATCGAGTTAACGTCCTACACTGTAAAACCCGAATTGAAATTAAAAAAGAAAAAAAAGTGACGGTAAAATTCGCCCGAGAAATCGTTTGAATTAACATCGGTAGATGTACAGAAAGCCAAATACCTAGGTAATTAATTCGTCCCACTCCACAAATTTTTACACGATATTAAAGTCATCTTCAGAAAAAGAAATAATCGATTTTATAATAACAAAAATATACAGATATTTCTAAATAAAGAGATGCTAAAACCTTCGCAATGCGAGGACAATTTGCATGGTACTAAATGGACCACGCCTGTACTTTTCATTATTTGTACCTTGACATTTTGTGCATCCGCATAATCAGTCTAATCATATCTTCAAAATCATCGCTTCGCGTAAATGTCGAAATTTGGAACTTACACAATAAAAATCTATTAATCATTAACCCTCTATTGTATGAGCCTTTTAACCCATTTTTGGGTAGAAACATATCTGGAAGGACGAGCTTTGATCAGAAACCTACTGTATTATCATTATATTAAATCAGTTTGATTTATTGATTCAATTTTCATTTTTCAAGTTTATTATCATCTACCAGGAAATATATTAACATTATAAATAAATCTGTGGTTTGTTGTCAGGTGGCAATATCGTGAAATAAAATCTGTTGGAAGCCCATGAAATATTGATCAATACTTTTGTACGCCATAATTCCAAGAAGGGCTCAAAACTATTACCGCCCAATGTATTAATATTTTATTCCTTTTCTGTGGTCCTTTCTTTTTTAATACTCCGCGGTGTGTTTTAACGTGTCAGTTAGTGTAGGTTTCTAAATGCACATTCGTTGTCGCCGTTTCCTCAGGTGCAGATTGTCCATACGACCCTCTCTCTCGGCCGCGCCGTTTCTCACTCACGTGCTTTATATATACATGTGCATGCAAACGCTAGGTGCACTTGCTCTTAGGAGTGCAGTCCTCGTTGGCAAGTCGACCCGTTAGGTCGCGAAGCTCGAAAGCCGTAAAGTGACTCTTCCGGGCGAATATCTGATTTCCGCGAGTGTCCTCTCTCATTATATCAGCGTTCACTTCCGGACGGGATTTCTTTAACAATTAATCCGCCTCGTTGCTCCACATCGCGAGGATCCCCATTCTTCCTCTTCTATTAATTTACACTTATTAATTTGCAAATATCTGATATCCGGGAGTGTCTTCTCCTTACATCAGCGTTCCGTTCCGAACGCGATATCTTGCAGAATTAATCCTTGTCGATCCACATTGCGAGGATCCCCATTTCTACCCTCTCATTAATTTCCATCTATCAATCTGCAAATATCCAAATTTTTCTTATATATCGTTATCCGAGCGTTCAATTCCGCAATTTGGATTTCTTATTCCAATTTGCGATTTCTTGCAGGAGCAATCCACCAATGGTTGTTCCACGTTGCGAAGAACACCCACCCCCATTAATATTCTCCTATTGATTTGCATTAATATCACATATACTCTGTGTCTATTCGTTTAAATACCCAGGACATCGATTTGTTAGGGAAACTTAAAATACTTATTTATATTGCCCTGAGTTTCGCGATAACCCCGTAACGCGATTCAGGTGACGCTTCTGTACGGGGAGATCAACCGTAGTTTTCGTCACTCGACTTGGAAGAGGAAAATAGAAATAGAGACATAAAAAGAAAGATAGAGAGAGTGGGGGAAAGTTCCGTGTTGCGTGCTAATAATACGCAACCTCGTACGGGGGTAGCACACCGATTTTGTCCTTTGGCATACGCCGGTATTCCCGAAGTCTCGGGAAGAAAGGAAGATGCGCCTTCTAATAGCGGCACTCGATCAAACGGTGAGAGCGATAGGCAAAGACGTATTGTCTCCCAAATCTGACTCGATCCACGTTAAGCACTCGTTGTTTCTTCCTATTCCTTGTAAAGGTTGGGACAGGATGGATCTTTATCCATCTGAATCGTCTTTAATTAAGTTTCTTAAAAGATATACTTAAGCCCTTAACTTATTTCGAGGAGTCAAAAATGAGCCATTTGCCACGTATTGTCCGTAATCACTAAAATAGCGAAATAAGTTACAGCTTGACAGTACATAATAGATATTGTTTCTTCTGTATTTAATTTGTCTGCAAGTTTACGTGCCCAAAAAGGATTTATATGATACAAGTTGATATTATAATCATACGACATTTAACAGATAATAATTCTGTACAGCTTGACTTGAATAGATTAGGTTCCATATCACTGTTGTCTGCACAAAATCACAAAATGAATGCCAATAGATATTGAATTAATAAAGTTGATTCATCGAATGCAATAGTTTTTCATGGCATTGCTATAACTATTTCAGATGATTTGATTTCTACCTACTCACTGAAAGTACTGTTAATTTAAATCCTTTCTGAACAATTATGGACTATTTTTACCCGTGGATTCTTGGGTAAGACCAATAATTTAGTTTTGACCAATGTACCACTTTTAGTCAAGTATTTCTTCCCATCGCATTGTTTTTCTCTATAACAAGTAATACCGTAATTATACGCAAAAGGAATTGAAAACAATGTTGCATATCTAAATTAAATACGAGCCTGATGTTCCCGAGGTTTACAATAACGCTATCTAATCGATATCTCTATAATTCAATGAATAATCTAATAAAGGGGTGTCTGGTCGAGACATTGTGGAGTATTCGAGAAGCTTGTATCGTCTCTCAGTTGCAGCAATTTTAATTAATTATTCGAAACCTTTTCGTTGCAGGAATATGACCTCGAACAAAAAATCGAGGTGGAGATTAAAATGCGGGAAGGCTCGGCTCGGCTTTTGGCCGCCGCCCGACACAGGGCGCAAAGCTTGGAAGCCGCCAGAGCTTTGTTGACTTCAAACGAAAGGATGTCGGCGTACATGGCCGAATTGCAAAGACGTAAAAAAGAACCATCCAACAAGCCCGTGTAAGTACTGCCTCGCATTTGTTTAATTACGCCAAAGATGAATAGCTTCGACCGTCAGAGCGAAAATACTGTTCTACGGAAGAATACGACCGAGTGGTTTTCTCCTTTTCGAGATCACGTTACAATGACCTATCTAGGGAGAAGTTTGCTTTAAACCTTAAAAATCATAATGAAAAATTCACAATTTATAATGAAAATTGCAACACTGAGAAAAGAGAGGGAGTAAATTCAACTCGTTTTCTGAGTTAAATATGGCGAACTCAATACGAGAGTTGGTTCAATTTATATATGGAGTACTCAACTCATCCATACATTTGATTCAACTCCAGAATGTGATTTTCCTCCGAATCTAAGTTGAACCAACTCGCGCACTGAGTTCGCCATATATTTAACTCGGAAAATGAGTTGGATTGACTGTATTTTTTTTCTTTTTTTTGTAGTGCATCAAGGTGCATCCCGCTCGCGTTATAACTTGGATTTTCTGATACGTATTTTTGTCATTTTAGATTGCCTGCCAGCACGGCAAGAGTTTCGCTATCGGAGTTGAGAGTTCCATTGATGTGGAGGGACTCGGATCACTTTAAAAATCGAGGCGATTATCGGAGATTCGCCGTCTTTTGCCTGGCACGAGTGGGTACTGAAATTCACGACACCGCTTTGCTCTGCCCAGTGGATAGAGCTCTTACAGACATCAGTTTCCCTGACGTATTAGTATTGTAAGTATTTCTTACAAATTTGACAAACATGTTTTATCAATACATATAAAAATAACGTACTAAATATTCATAGAATTATTATATTTCCAAAGAGAGTATAGGATTCTATTTCAATTTGATACCATAGAAGAGCGTACACAGTATAGGGAATTACGTACCCTTTCAACTTTTATAAATTCCAAAATTATCTGAAGATTTTAAGTATCAGTGTGTATGGAAAAGTACATATATTACGATTGTTTTTTCTTGCAAATTTTTAATTTTCAATATTTCCTCGTAGTCAATTTGAAAAACACTTTTCTTCTATTCTGATTTCTGTTATCGATTACACGTTTGGTTTCACACAGATACATTGTTAAAGAAATATTTACGTTTCGTAATTTATCATTAGTTCCTGTTTTTCCTCAAATAATAAATCATAACCCTGGCCGGATAAGTCCTTACTCTCCTCGTTTATTGTTTTATGAACGTACTCCCCATTTCTGTTCAAAGAAGTATAATTATTCATACATTATCAGTGCCATTTGCGAAAGATTAACGATATAAGATATTCCAAATCTCCGATATATAATAACATAGAGTTGTGCCAGATAAAACAATTGTTTATGGTCTATAACATTTTATATTCCACAGCAATAACGTACCAGCTGAATTCGAGTTGACATTGGAAATCTACAGTCATATTCTTCAAGAGGATCTCAGTATAGCTAGTACACCACGAAGAATCAAAAGAACGATACATTCGTCGATATCGAAAACAGTTGGGAAAAAGCTCGCCGCTTCTTTACGTGACGAATTAAATTCGGGAAAAACGTAAGTCTCCCATGCAAAACAATAGAAATACATTATAAACCAGTATATATTTGATTTTTACATTTCATATATTTCGGATTCTTAAATTTCCATTTTCCATCACCTTTTAGTGGACCACATTTCGAATTAATGGCATCTGCAAGATTAACCCTGGACGACACGGATGACAATATACACACTCACGATCTCACCATTAATAATTTCGGTAAGTTGTTAGGGAAAGATTATAAGACAAATTGAAGATAAACTTGAAACGTGAAATCCTTAAATTGACATCAATGGATTCCTTCAGAAAATAAGCACCATGCACTTCCGTTATTCGGACACTTCTGCTGTCGTCTGGCGGCTCAACCGGATTGCGTTAACAAGGAAGTCTGTTCCGGAAATATGAATGTGCATGGACGAAATTGTTGGGCCCGTCTCCGAGGCTTCACCATTCAGACTTGGGAATCGAGGAAGCTTGCGGAAGAAGAGCAGAGCCCCATCGATATTATACCAATCAATAGGGTAACTTTTCCATTGACAATAAGCCTTAGAACGAAGCTATAAATATTGTAATAAATGCGCGAAAAGATTCGAACGTCTATAAAACACTTTTTGTGAGACGGAACTAAAAATAGTCAGTATCCAGATCACGCTATAAACGCCTTTAAAATTTTAAATGTGTCATGTACTCTATAAGAAAGAAATTAATATTATCCTAAATCTGGTACACGTATCATAATTGAGGAACGTTAAACCGTACTCATTGCGTATTTCTTTTTTAAAGGAAACTTCAATCCAGCCATGCAAATCGTCGTCAAAGGAGTTGCGTATTACGAATAGCATGGAAGGATCAGAGAAGACAACTACAATTAAGTTAGAATCAAATGAGGAAGCTCAAAAGTGGCTAAGACAATTGTTAAGCCATTCTAAGGATCACTTGAGATGGAAACATGCGGCTGAAACCATCCAGGATGTTCCATGTGTCGAGAGTACCAGAAATTCCTTTATTAGTAACAAAAGACAGGGATCTTTGTACGATGAAACACCGCTAATTGGTTAGTATATGCCTAATAAATGAGCCATAATCGAAAGATTGAATAAAATATTAGTGAAATTATACTTTCTCATTTTGCTTTACAATAGAATCATATTTTGCATGGAACTCCGCACATCACGGCTTTACCGAATCCTTAAGAAAAGTGAATTAAAGTGATTTAATAAAATGAACCCAGTTGCACCTATCAATTTCTATATTGTTATTTTATTAGAGTTGTGCTAGACTTCTATATGGTATAGTTACAATTTAAAATACATTACTACATGTGAACTTTTTTGGTCAACAGAATCGGTGCAGTCAGAATATACATCAGCGAGACCAACAGTCCAGGAGATTTTTGGTCTCACACCAAGTACCAGCCTAAGTAGTTGCAGTTCGACGAACAGCCCTCCGAGTCTACGATCTCGATCTCTTAGTACGAGTGGTCCTCGCAAACTTAGCACTAACACATTTAAATCCCATTGGCCATTTTCCACCAAGAATCACGATTAAAGTAACATTTTTCCGACCGCAGCGAAATCTTAACCGGTTCTTGATGAGTCGAAAAACAATACAAGCAGTTAGTACCTGCTTGGATCGCCAGATGGACGCGAACAAGCGGTACCTGAATTATTTCATGTTTTGTCTGTCTGCACATAATGAATTCTCGGCAACTTACAAAACTTCAGTACATATCCATTTGTACCGACTTCAAGATCCAACGAATGCCCGAATGTTTAGTGGTTATCCTCCCAGGTAAGAAAACGAAAGATTATGCGTTTCCTAGTACACGCCGCATAACATGTATAATTTGTTGTATATTTCAAAAACTAGTGGCAAACCTCCCTTAATACCGAAGTCTTGTTTTCTTCAAATAGCATATCTCTATGATGCCAATATAAAAGTATCTAGCTAAAATCTGTTTTTGGCAGTAATGCCCAAAACTCTACTGTTCAAAACATTAAAAAATATATACACTTCTTTTCTGGTAAAAATAGAAAAACGTATATATGCACAACTAATTTTATCCAGAACTCCCAAACTCGTTAAGTAAAAGTAAAACAAGGCAACAGGCGTTAACATTAATCTTCCAGTTATATACATATATCTATCATAAACTATAAATGAGATTTTGTAGGAACACGCGTAGATGACAACCTTTCATTAACCTGTATAAAAAAGGAGGCCTAAAGTCTATTTCATGTATTGCTAGTAGATCAGTTTAATATTCAGTACTCTATGTGAGCGATTAATACGTCTATTAAGTTATACAGAGATCCATTAAGCTTACAACTGTTTGCTGTGTCATTTACTTCGTTTTCTAATGCCGAAGATAGCTGATTAAGACTGCGATAGATAGACCATGACCGATCGAGTAACGGTCACCTTATGTGACTTCGTTAGCCGTTAAATACTCATTAATCTTATCTATTTAGACAGTTTTCTAATCTCATTTTTTTTTTCTAATTTACTCTTTCACTGTCAATTTGGCGCGAATAAATAACGTTTATTTGCGTTAAGTGCAACAATATCTCGCGACGGATAATAGCATCTTATAGTTATTTGTCGTCATACGAAAATGTCATTAATATATTTCGATAAAGTGTCCTTAGGGATTTTAGACCCCAGGAACATAGGGTACAATTTCCGTAGATCGGTAAGTGACCCAGAATTGACCATGACACATTTACACCTAAACATTGTTCGATACCATTCTTGAGGAAAAGTGACCGTTTCGTGCAATCAATTTTTTTTTGTTTTAATTGTATTGAGGCCAGAGGCAATGAATTACGAGAATTACTAAAATCTCGGTAACGTTGAATGGTTCGACGAACTTATGTTTCCACTTCGATTATGACGATTGAAAGAATCCATAACGCAACCAATCTGAGCTCCAATTATACGATATGGAGTAATACAATTCTATTGACACGTCAAAATCTTCTTTATAACGAAGTATTAATTCGGTGCAAGAATTATTTGTTCATTAGTTCATAATTCTCTCCAAAAAATACTTATTTATCATTTTTTTTAAACGTACTCACTTGCAATTTGATATGTTAAACAAAATTTTAAGACAAAGGTAATTTCTTTCTCTGGCCACGTTTCAACGCAAAAATATTTCTTTTCAAGTAGTACGTAAAATAACTTCAACATGTAGTTGTATAAACATGATCTTGTTAAAAATTGAGAACCATAGTGGGCGTAAGTATCATCCATGATTCGCCGTTATTATAGGCATATATCCACCTGTTCATTCATTTGTACGTAACTTTTCGAAATTATTGTATCATTAAGATAAAATGTAAAAATGATGTAATATTAATCAAAGAATATGGCATTATTATCCCTGTCGCTAATCCCATGTGCGTTGCACTTAAAAAAATCTAAGATACTCTAATATTATTTTATGGTATGTAAGTTCATCGAATAAACGTAAAATGTTTCTAAGAATTGCAACCTTGCGTATTTTGGTTGATGTTTTCTATATTTATTAGAATGATTTCATTTTCTTGTTTTCTCTTCTCATCACAAAATAACAGCATACTTTATTTAATTAGTAAGGGTTATTAATCCTTATTAAAGAGATTAAAGGTAAGACTGTCAAAAAATTAATCTCTTACTAATATTTCTTAACATTATTTCAATTCAAATTGAATTTCTACTTATTCTTAGTGTCAGGTGACCAATTTCATTGAAATCCTTTTCCTAAAGTATTTTTTCAAAACTTTTAATCATGGTCAAAGAATACAGGGAGACTTCTGAATTCTTTGTCATGGTTCACCCCTTAAATATGAATTTGAGCAGCTATAAAAAATACATGTATACCACATTTTCATTCTCTAACATACTTGAACAGCAATCAAATTGGAGTCAAAACACCTGAAACACTTGGAAAAAGCTCCATATAAAATAATTTTACCTCTTGAAATTTAAGAATACAATTACTTCAAGTTAAGGACTATCCAATAACTGTCAAACACTATCTTTCCTATAAGTCATTTAAACTTTCCATGGTTTTATTCTCCAAAATCCATTTAAATGAAATGTTCCTCTTAAATGAATTAATATACAATGTATCAAATACATGATTTCATTATGAAAGAATATTACCTTCATCTTATGTGATGAAAGATTTGTGATACTTCCATATTATTAGGTGGACCCTAAAATAACAAGATGAAACTTCTGAAATAAACTTTTAATACATTACTTGAAAACGTTATTATAAACAGCAGCTAAACAACATCCAAGTCGTTCTCTTCTAATATTCCAAAAACGGATGTTTTGTACATGTTAATCTCTTAACTTTTTATTTTTAATACCAAAAGTGTGACACTATTGACACTAAAAAAAATTTTAATTTCATTCCTTTGATGCGGCTAAACCAAGACCAGCAATCATAGCTATGATTGTAAAGCTTTGTGCAGCGACACGGGCACGCATCATATATTGCTGCATTTGTTTGTTTCCTTTGTAGAAGTTAAAAAGTCCAAATGATAACGCAACGACAGTAGCAAGACAACCTGTAAAATATATTTACATTATTATATCTAGTATGTTGTATGTAACTAATATAAAAGAACAATTTTGTAACGTGTAAAAAGAAAACAAACAAATAATTACTGTACACAACAATGAAATTGTAAGTATTTGTTTAAATTGGATAACAGTCCTACTAGGGAAAAGTAATCATGCAATTACAATTTTAGACTTAATGAGAAGATATAACAACAAAACCTAAAATCATTTAATTTCTAAACTCAAGCGTTTCTAATAAATCAATTACCTTAGTTGGAACATTTACATAATTTTATCCGTAACCGCCAAATAAAATAAATGTATGGAAATATAAAATAAGTGCTTAAGAATTAATTAACAATGAAATCAAGGGCAACAAGCGTATAATACTTATTTTACATGGAATTTAAGCGTTCACATAGACGTTTAAAAATTGATTTAAAGTATGATGTGCTAAAGCTTTTCGCAGCTTACTCATGTACATTACATGCATCCAAAAGCTGCTTAAATTTCAAGTAATTAATATATACTAGGCATTAATATGAATACAGATAAAACCACAGATCTAGAAACTATACTAACAATGAATTGGGAAATTGTTACATTTTAATCACTGGTAGACATGTAATATTTACTAACAACTTCCAGACATACAAATTAAAATTAATCGAAAATTATAATATTGACATGCCTCACACATAATAACATAAGAATTCAATATACATATTTATAAATAACATTACCGATTGGTACAAGAGGATTATCTCCCAATTTTCGCACAAATTTCTCACTGCTACTTTCAACGTCATATGAACTTTCTTGTAATAACACCCAATCTAATTTTTCTTTTTCTTGCTTTCCAGCCATTATTCTGTTAGAATTATAAGTTTACGCACGTAAACCTAGAAACAAACAGAAACCTTATGAAATCTTATTAATCTGACACTCACACGTCGTCTATCCTGCGCAGAACGAAATAAGGTAAGGTTAGTTCGGTATAAACAGAGAGGAAACTCGGCAATGAATGACGAAGTTGTCACGAAGCCCGAGGTGTCTCACCAAGGCCAAAGTTCCAGTAAACGCGTCACGTCAACGCGTCGAGATGAACAACCAATCAGAACTTCGCTTAACCTTTGCGCCTCTTCCACCGCAATCCTGATTGGTTCTTCATCCACGACGCGTTGACACGCCGCCCTCAGTGTGGCATCGGTCGCACTCAGTGGGACACCGGCTTGGTAAAGTAGAAGCAGAGGTAGAAAGTAGGTGGCCAGACTACTGCTTTCACGCGGAATCCATACGAAGCCTGTACATTTTCCTGGTATCATAAGAATTATTTAAGGCGAAATGAAACCCTCCAAGGAAATTAATTCACGTCGATAAAAAAGATTCGTCTAAATACCTTCGTTACCGACGTTCTTATTTACGTTGCAACTCTATCGAACTATATCGGGTATTGTATTAAATCCCATACCCCATACGTCGTTTCCGTACAATGGTTATATAAAAATCGAAGTAAAACATCTGAAATTTCCTAGATTCATGGATTTTGATGTCGGAATTGACTGCAGAGTGCCACCCTGTATGTATGTGCCATCTATGCTAACTAAATTTTCTCTCCGAGACCTCGTGTTACTTTCGTTTTAGCATAGAAGCTCATAAGACACGTATTTACCCTTATCTCGTTCAAATTCAAGTTTTAAGATTACTAGTGTTCTAAATTGTGGTTTAATTGTCCTGATGCCTTCGTTTCTCACGTCAGAGCCTTCAATAACATATTGCCTGCATATTGATCCAAATATGAGAACCCGATGCCATGTTGGTTCTGGAGTAGACTAAGTTAAAAAAAAAACATGTATAAAAATCTAACTTTTGAAAGTCCCAGGATATTTCTTCGGTGCTCACGGGTCATGTGCTAAAATTTTAGCCAGACTAGTGTAACAAACCTTTCGAAAATGTGTCTTATTTGTGTCGACTGGTTTGAAATAGATTGCACATTTGAGCAATTTACACATAAGAAGACCCGTTCCTGAAAAGGATGCAGATGTTCCTTTACCTGGACAGCCAAACTGAGAGACGGCTTATTCTATGTAAAATAATAACTAATAAAAATAATATAAGAAATGTATATCTTTTGCGGAACTATTTAAAACTATGTTTATACCGATGTAAAAATAAATACCGCACATAACGTTTATAATTAAATGCAACCAAATTACTAAGGACGGTAGTATTGTTTTTGTACCTGGGCGACGAACAATTAAAGAACGGACCTGGATATAAGCAAGGAAATAATAAAAGAATAATTGCCAAAAGTCTAAGTAACAGATACTAGGAATATTGAATATGAATATTATCGTATAATATATGTCTCTTCAATTTTTCTACAATAGGAATCATGTTTATATGAATAACCGATATTGGAACAGCCTGTCTCATCGCAAATTTCAAAGTGAAGGATTGCTTATATCTAACACCACGCTCGAGAAGGTGACCTGCCATTATATTCAACCGTCATTGTATTCATAAGTCATCGAAAGGGTTGTTCTTCACAAATGACGAATGGTACACAAGTCAACCTTTTTCTCTCCTGATCGTTACAAATTGCAGGCTGTTCCTAATTGTACAATTTAAACGCACATCACTTTTATTAATACTTAGAAATGTAAATGCAACTAAACATAATCAACGAGACATAACTGCATAAACCAATTTTAGATAAATCGAAATTAAGGATATTTATTTATTTGTTTATATATTTAATTATTGTATTATATGTAATCTTTAAGGCCATATTCAAATATTCAAATATTCCATTGTCCTCGTACATTTTTTCTAGACTTTACTCTCTACAATTGTTCTCTAATTTTATGCCAGCCCTATTACAATGAATATCATGTACTAATATGATTAACGTATAAAATTTATCCTTTGTACAAGATTTACAAAATTTAGACCGACAATTTCTTCTAATTCGATTCTATCATATTTTTTATTTTGTTTGGGATTCTTTGTAATACTACGTACTATTTATAATGATATGTGGACCCTTATCGAATGAAAATAAATTATTTAATGTTGAAGGGAAATAAAATATACTCAGAAGATGGTATACGGTATCGTAAGTGCTCCGCACCAATCACAGAGCGCGGATGCTCCGACCGCGGCTTGCTGCGCTGTGATTGGTGCGAAGCTTACCCCCAGCTCCAACATATAAGGCGGCATCAACTTCTGTCCAGCGTTAGTCGAAGACGAACAGTCCGAGCATTAACTTCCGAAACTCTTAACATTTGTTGACCGTTTTATACGACCTGACATTATGTCGCCTAAAGCGACTGGCAAAGTTGTGAAGAAAGTTGGGAAAGCGCAGAAGAATATCAGTAAGACCGACAAGAAGAAGAGGAAGAGGAGGAAGGAGAGCTACGCTATTTACATCTATAAAGTCTTAAAGCAAGTTCATCCTGATACTGGAGTGTCCAGTAAGGCTATGAGCATCATGAACAGTTTCGTGAACGACATATTTGAACGCATTGCGGCTGAAGCGTCCCGTCTCGCCCATTACAATAAACGATCGACCATCACATCTCGAGAGATCCAAACCGCAGTGAGGCTTCTACTACCTGGAGAACTCGCCAAGCATGCAGTCAGCGAAGGAACAAAAGCTGTAACAAAGTACACGAGCTCGAAATGAGCTAATTAATACCAAACGGCCCTTTTCAGGGCCATCAAATATTTCCATACGTAACAACTTGTTGCAATATGTTTCGGTTCCATTACCTTTCCTTTAAGAATGTTTATTATTTAGTCATTTATTCGGATTGAGACTGATTTATGGAAGATATTGAACATGTTTAATACTCGTAAACCATTCTGTTCGCTTGACAATATTGTGCATTTCATAAAGTCTTAAATCACTGCTAACACAGGTCCCAAAATGAAAAACTTGCTCATATCTGGACTTCTGGAAAAATCCACAATTTTTCTTCTATTTATAAACCATGGAACTTAAAAGTGTCAAATGATATATTCAGTTGTTTAATGTACTCTTTAAGTGAGTCTAGCATTGTTGCACGTAGAAATGTTCGTGACTAGATGTAGGATGTATACGAGCTCGCAGATCAATCGGTCATTTGTAGAACCTTTAAAAGATTTTTATTTAATCGGTGCTCAGCGTGGATGCTTCTGTCGAAAGGACTAAAGTTTAAAGCCTGGTTTATGCGCTCGTCCTAATTTTAACTTAATTATCCATTGTAAGGAATTCGTAAGGGGTGTGTTTATGCTGCAGATTAAGGTTAGAATAAGGAAGGCATAAAGGTTTTCTACGAGTTCTTTATAGTGAACAATTAAATAATGGTTATGACAAAAGTATAAACCAGGCATAAACGATACCATGCACAGCTTGACCCGGACTGGTAGTATTATGGAGAGCGTAATACTTTTATTAGGGTTATTGTATTGTTTACGGTTACAATTTACTCGTCTTATGAATAAAAGGTTTTATGGTGAGCGTGATACTTTTGAGGTTCTTGTATTGGGAAAAGGGATTACGGAGAATCTGATATTCATTCGGGTTAGCCCGAAGAAAGGCATTATGGTGAGCGTGATACTTTTGAGGTTTTTGTATTGGGAAAAGGGATTACGGAGAATCTGATACTCATTTGGGTTAGCCCGATAAAAAGATTTATGGTGAGCGTGATATTTTTATTGCGGTTCTTGTATTGGGAAAGGGGATTATGGAGAATCTGATATTCATTCGGGTTAGCCCGAAGAAAGGTATTATATGGTGAGCGTGATACTTTTGAGGTTCTTGTATTGGGAAAAGGGATTACGGAGAATCTGATACTTATTTCAGTTAGCCCGATGAAAGGATTTATGGTGAGCGTAATACCTTTGAGGTTTTTGTATTAGGAAAAGGGATTACGGTGAACCTGATACTCATTGGAGTAAGCCGATTTTTTTTGAAGTTTTGCGTAAGGGATTCAACATTCATTTTCAAAACTGCGTATCAACTGCTCCTTAGTGTTAAATCTTTTGTTGGCCCTGAAAAGGGCCGTTTTAATTGCGAGCTTATGCACGCTCTCCACGGATGCGACGAGCCAATTGAATATCTTTAGGCATGATGGTAACACGTTTTGCATGAATGGCGCATAGATTCGTGTCTTCAAACAAGCCAACGAGGTAAGCTTCACTAGCTTCTTGCAGTGCCATTACAGCGGAACTTTGAAACCGCAAGTCTGTCTTGAAGTCTTGAGCAATTTCTCGGACGAGTCGTTGGAACGGTAGTTTTCGGATTAAAAGTTCGGTACTTTTTTGGTAACGACGGATTTCTCGAAGGGCAACGGTGCCAGGTCTGTATCTATGAGGCTTCTTCACTCCACCGGTGGCAGGTGCGCTCTTACGAGCAGCTTTTGTCGCCAGTTGCTTCCTTGGAGCTTTTCCTCCCGTTGACTTGCGAGCGGTTTGCTTGGTACGTGCCATGCTGAGTCACTTGGTAAAATCACCCTCAAACGAGAACAGCTGCTGAGAGAATGACTTCCAGCCGGCGTTCGGCTTGCTTATATACATTCAGGGGAGCACCTGCTTCACGGTGATTGGTCCATTCATGGGAGGAGTGGGGGTTCTATCCCTGACTGATATAAATAGAAGCGCATCAAAGAGCAAACGGCAGTTCAGGACTTTTCCTTGCACTATCGGTGATTGTATTTTCGGAGGCTTCGAGCTCAATTGACGAATTTTCGTCTAATTTCTACTCTACTAATTCGCTGCAAGAATGACTGGTCGCGGAAAGGGAGGAAAAGGATTGGGAAAAGGAGGTGCTAAACGTCATCGAAAGGTTCTTCGAGATAACATTCAAGGAATCACCAAACCCGCTATTCGTCGTTTGGCACGCCGTGGTGGAGTAAAGCGTATCTCTGGATTGATCTATGAAGAAACACGAGGAGTGTTGAAAGTATTTCTGGAAAACGTTATTCGTGATGCTGTTACTTATACTGAACACGCGAAAAGGAAGACGGTTACAGCAATGGACGTTGTATACGCTTTGAAACGACAAGGACGTACTTTGTACGGATTTGGAGGTTAAGAGACAATGTGAATTCATTCACTGCACAAACGGCCCTTTTCAGGGCCTCAAATGATTTTTACGTAAAAACGACTTTGCATTTACACAAGTTCTATCGATAAATATATTTCGTTATGTAGAGTTACTTATGATTAGATATTTAACATTAATAATCACGGTTAATTTAAATTCGTTAGTGGTTTAATTACAGATTACTTTTATGTTACGTACGAGTTCGATGAAAATGGTAGCTCAGGAATTAACTATAGAAGTAAATCAATTGTTCACATCACTCTGTGAAATCTTCCTCTTATTGCTGATGAAATTGAATTAAGAATTCCCGGTGAAATAAACGCGCCTACTGTAAATAGGAAAGAAATCAAAGATTCTTCATATACATTGATCATTAAAATTGAAAGACTTAGAAATAGCAGAAATTAATACATTATCATTACTAAAAAATGACGGTAGAATAACGGACGATAAAAATTATGAATATTTAGCGATGGACACAAATGTATTCTCATCCTATGTAGCGGCGTTATGTTCGTAGGGAAGGCATTTATATCCTCTAGGGTACATTTGCTTTTAGTAATTACGTTTATCCTAGGCACATCGACGGACATAAATGCCTTTCCTACGGATATAATGCCGTCAATGTACGATGGAAAGGTTTTCATGTCCGTCACTATACCTGAGCATAAATACATTGTACACTGGGAGACATCAATGCCCTCCCAGCCTGCACAGGCGATGTCGTATCTGCAGGGGAGGCATTCATGTCCGCCATTGTACATATCGGTTCACCCTAAGCAAACTTTGTTAGCCAACACGATTAATTTTTCGAACAACGAAAAATTGGGCTGTAATCCGTTTTGTAAGCAATGTTTATTAAAATGGTGGTATTGGAAAAAATATACATTAATTTGTTAACTATATCTTCAGTATAGAGGCTTGTATTTTGTCAGACATTGACCGAACATCTTCGTTATGAACGACTAGTATTATCTAACGTATCCGATAACTATTACAGCATTTGAGCAACCGTTGACGATTTTCTCGACAATGTTGCAAAACATCTACTCGTGAACAGTTCATCCAGTATTTGACAAAATGCTTGCGTGCATCCTGAAGATAATTATGGAACCGTGTGGTCACGCATTTGTACTATAAGTTTGCACATACTATTGTTGGGCGGGTGTAGAACATTGTACTGCAAAAATCTGCATAGATCATTTGTGGATGGAATACTGTGCTGCATTGCGGGTCGTCTCGACGATAATGTACGCGAGTCTTTAAAGCAACTACTAAGTTGCAACAAATTTTTACAAACTGACCTATATAGTGTAACTATGTGGATACTATATGCAGGCCTCGATTTAACTGCAGTTTACGAACTATCACGATTTATTGTATCATGTGTAGTCACTTTAAACAATTTTGTAGAGATTTAAATTATGCAACAGTTTCAATTTAAGTATTAAATGTAGTTTATTATCCATTCGATTCTAACATTTAATATCGACAAAAGGTATTACCTAATAACACCTTATCTAGATGGTTTTAAGAAGGACAAGTTTGTGAATTTTAAGTTCATCCTTCACGTTTCATTAAATTTAAATAAAGTATATTTTAGTTATTTATGATACGAGAATTAAAAGGATAATAAATGAGCAAAACTAAAGAAATTCCTTCGTTTGAAAGATATTTGGTGGCCCTGAAAAGGGCCGATTTAAGTTCGGAATCAATAGTCCGAGACCATTATTTATGCCTTCTTTTCAGTCTTCTTGGGTAAAAGAACGGCTTGAATATTTGGTAGAACTCCACCTTGTGCTATTGTAACACCGTTCAGAAGTTTATTCAATTCTTCGTCGTTACGAATGGCGAGTTGCAAGTGGCGGGGAATAATCCTGGTCTTCTTATTGTCACGGGCTGCGTTGCCTGCCAACTCTAGAACTTCAGCGGCGAGGTATTCCATCACCGCGGCCAAGTAAACCGGTGCTCCTGCTCCAACACGTTCGGCATAATTTCCTTTTCTCAGCATTCTATGGATTCGACCAACGGGGAACTGAAGACCCGCCTTGCTCGAACGAGACTTCGCCTTTCCCTTAACTTTTCCTCCTTTGCCGCGTCCTGACATGTTAACCGTATGCTGCACGAACTAGTGAGTGTCACGAAGACTTTTTGACTTTTGACGTGATAGCCAAGGCGTCACCGACATATATATACCCCGGGCAGCCACCGCGTCAGCCAATCACGAACGAGGAATCTCCCTCGCACGACGCACGCGGCGTCTGATTGGTGCGGCTCTTATTCGATACCAGCAGCAGTTACACGTTAGAAATGCTTGTTGACTGAAATTCGAATCATAGTGAATCGTTTTCTATGTACGTTCGCAAAATATTGCAACAATTTCAATGTGGCTATTTTACAAATAAGAATTCCGACATCACGAACGACTTTATCTACGATTTGCGACAGAAACCTCTGCTGGTTCTACTTAATAAAAAAATAGAAGACGCAAACTTTCCATAAAATTAAAGCAGTCGTTAAATATAAAAATTAATAAAACTCCTGTTGAATAAATTTATCGCGATTCTAGCAACCCTTACTTTTTAATCAAATGAGGAATTCGAAGTCTTCAGAAATCTGAAGTCATAAATTTATCTATTGTAATTGGGATATCTATTCATACGTATCCAGGGTGTACTTTTAAATTCCTAGGTTTAACGGTATTTCGCTCCATTATTACTTTATTACCTTTAATCTTTTCCCCTTAAAATCATCCTTTAGCCAGTTAAATTGCTGCCATAAAGGTGTCATTTGAATAGAAACGGGTGATATATAATGAAAGTTATGACTTATTACTTCTAAAAGCGGTTGAACGTAAGCCTTTCGAATACCTTTATACCTGACCATTAATGACCGCACTGAGGTCAAAGAAACATTTCGAATATCTCCGAAATGACTTATCATTATTGCCGTACGTATTTAAATACAAACTCAATTTTACATATATAGATTTAATTATGAGGTACAAGAAAAGTGACAAGTATTTTTAAACGAAGAAAACAACGGAGATAAAATTTAAGTTTAAGAGTAATATTTTCTCATTTTTATAAGCAACGGAAATGCTTTTTTTAATATCTAGTCGAAATAGAAAATGGCTAAATATAACCGCGAGAAATAAATTGACAACGAAAACTGACGTCGGCTTTAAGAATGTACCCAAGATTAAACCTGTTCTTAACAAGTTAACTAACAAAGCAATACAAATAAAATTTCAGACCGTTTAAGAGAAATCCGTTAGATCGTCATTTACCCAGAACTTCCCCAAATGTGAAGAATCGGGCATTGTTGACAGTTTTTGTAAAATGATAAAAACTAGTTTCTGTTCTCCAACCGATCTCGCAGGAATGTCGTAACTCGTTAAATACCTTACAGCGCCATCTCTGTGGTTACATATTGAATCGAGCTCTAAATACTCCACATTATGTGGAGAATTTTCTTCCGTATCGAAGAAAGATACCGAAATATATTTGCGTCAGTAAATGTTTTTCGAAAATTCATGAATTATTTCACCAGGTGCACTTTTTCTCCTGCTTAATCTGAAGTAACTGTTCTGTTGGTAATGTCACTTGCGTTACCGTCACTGTAAAGCATCTCTTTGGTTATAGGTTGGTTTCAACGCCGCGAAATGGCGCCGCGGCCGGCGGTTCGTGTCATTTATGTGGCAACAACAGTTTGTTGAGAGACAAGCTTTGACGGAATTATACGTACGATTAGTGGAATTTAGAAAGGTTTTAGTTCATTTCTTTACGTGAGGTTTTGTGGAAGCTCGCGATGGATTTTCGGAGTATTTTCTCGAGGATATCGGCCCTAGGGCGAGAGTACAATTAAAAGTGGTGCATAAGTACTGGTCGGAATAAGCGGCACCGTACCGTGTCATGGCACAGATCATGGGGAATCGTCGGTCCTACTCAGCATCTCCGTCGAGATTGCTCAAAGGTTTACCAATCGGATACTTCTGCGGTAAATGACCGTCTTTTTGCATCGTATCAATTGCCACGCGATAATCACCCATGAGCCGAACGAGTCGCTCAGTGGCACGTGGAGACCATTGGGAGCCTCCGAGGATTGACACGTTATTCACTTTATATCCTGTGCTTTCGTAGTTGGCCTCGATAGAGTCGACCGAGGACGACTCTGGAGCCAAAGGTAACAACGTATCCTGTGCTTTGATCCACTGTTAGCGATGCACCACAACAGGAGAAAGAAGAAGCGTGTTAATTATGGGGTTAGGGCAGTGGAGCTTCTACGAGGTACCAAAGGTTTCGGTTTCACTATATCTGGCCAACAACCTTGCATACTTAGTTGCATCGTCCCAGGCAGTCCAGCCGAAAATGCAGGTCTAAGAGCTGGAGACTATTTGGTCTCTGTGAACGGGCATAGCGTGAGTAAAGCCCCCCATGACGATGTGGTTAGGCTGGTGGGACGTTCCAAAGGCGTTCTCCGACTGCAAATCGCAGAGAACTATTACTCCGATTCATCCGATGAAGAGGGTCTTGCCACCGTTCGATCTAAACCCAAGTACTCCCATAAGCCCAGGGGAAATAATGCCGGTACTCCGCAGTTACAGTGCAGAGTCGCCAAAGTCGTACGAGATTTACATAGTGGAGCAATGTTTGACGACGCTGTTAAAGTTGTACCTCAGACGAAGATTCAGTGCAATCATACTAATTTACATCGACGGTGGAACTTGGTTAGTCCGCCTCCTCCTCCACCACATTCTCATAAGAGGGATTCCGAAAAGATTGTCCATAGAACCGTGGTGGGATATCTTGGTACAATTGATATTCCAAATCAGCTACATCCGTCTTCTATGATGCAGGTAAATGTTTGTCTATTTAGAATTCACGTGTGCTAATATTTCACTATTGGATGATCATGTTGGGTTGGTTTAAAGTAACGATTTGAAGGAACTGTTCCCATTGTTAAATAATTGTCTAGTAGACTTTAATTGATGATTTTGCTCATTAATTTTGCTTGCATAATTTAGTAAAGTAAAGTTCTACGATAAAAAAAGTAGAATTATGGGGGAATGAAAGGTAGAATAATGTATTTTTACCTCTAGGAAAGTGTGTAAGATGATATTATGGACATCATTGTATAATGCTCATTTGGCTTTTACTTCATTACTTATGTTGCAAATGTTCATTTTACTAATGAAGCATCGTACGTACAAGGACATTTTTTGGAGTGTTTCTTGTTAATTTTCATGACATTTAGCCCTTTAATTCTGTAATTTACTGTAACATTAAGGGTTACTGACGTGTATACACGTTGAACGCAGTTAACTAGTTAATATACATATGGCCATGATCGTTACTGGTTCTATTTTTCATTTATACTGAAATCAAGCAGAGGTAACTACAGTTAGAACATTGTCAAAATTGTTTTTTTTATAATCTTCAAATCTATGAATATATGTGAGATCAATTACAAACATGAAATTGTAATAGATAGGTAGAAGTGGTATGGTATTATATTATATCTAGTGGTGACTAGGGTGAATTTGACCTCCTTAAAAAGTATGTATTTAATATTTTGACTGCTTTTAAAATGTATACTGGTTTTATAAAAATTATAAGAGAACACTAAGTAATTTTCTTCCCAGTAAAATAAAATATGTAACTTAAAAATAAAAAGACCTTTCTTTAGAGAGCAGTTTATGATTCTTCTAAGAGTCTTTCTTTAACATGTTTGCTCTGGTTAAAAAATGAAATATTTGTAGTAATGGAAACAATTTCGTTAAATGGCAACTTTGACAGAGAATTGAATAGCTTAATACAATACTTATTTGTCTTTACTTCCGTGATAACATAATCTATATTTTAGAATGCTACAAATCAGTTATCAGATTGAATTATTGTTTGTATCAGTTCATTACCATAAACTATTTTTTACCATTTTTTACAATATCATTACATAAGTCGTTTTTTTCAATGCAACATTTTATGTAAATACATTTTTTTTAAATCACTTTTAATCACACGTTAGATTTCGTCACTTAACACAAATTTTTAATTAAATTTAAGTGAAATCAATAGTGTTCCAAGTAAAATGATCGTTTTTTAAACCAAAGATATTATTTGTTGGCATCATGTATTCCAAAAATATGAGCACATCTGGCTATTAACTCAAACAATAGTTCGTCACACACATTAAAAGGATCTAAATAATCGCAAAATCTATCCTTGCTTAGCTTACTTTTCTTGTTATATTTTTTGTACAGTTTATTTTTATAGTTTTGTATTTCAATTGCAACAATAATAATCCATTCTAACCATGGAATGTTCCTGCTCAGCATGCTTCGCAATTCTTTTTCAACCTGAATTTATGTCTGGCAACAATAAATAGTTATTCGTTCTATCTATATGGTTTACCATGTTACTCGATTTTATTTATCCGTCCACTGGTCGGTATTGAGAATTTTCTTTACTTCACTAAATATTGGCAAAATTTCTGAAACATTACGAAAATATTTCGAAACTTGATCGCAGACGACGTATTTTGTTTTTATACATTAATATGCATAAGAATATACAGAATGTTAAAATTATTCAGCCTCGTTCAATAATATTTTCGTTTAGTTCTTTTTTAAATTATGATCCTCCATCAGTTGATCTTGTACGGTAATATTTTATACTATATGTAACGTAAAGGGCATTGCAACACAGAACTATATGTGTATATGCAGAAAGAATTGTATTTCTTGTTAATACAGTTTTAACGATTAAAAGCTATTTCAAACTGAACTTAAAATGTACGACTCATAAGCAATAATAACATAAAATGTTTTGTGAATAAATTGTGTTTCAGGTTTTAAGAAAATGCATTAAAAGATTGAAAGCAGAGAAACGAAATCCAACAACAGTTCTGTTGACGATACATGTGGCGAATATCAAACTAACAAATTCTGACAACAGAGTAATAGCTGAATACCCGTCTTATAGGATTATATTCTGTAATTCTTTCTCAGAACAGGATAAGCAATACTTTGGAATACTAACTAAGTCTGTTAAAGACACGGATGATATAGTTTCAAATTCATGCCATGTCTTTACTATCTATTACAAGCTAATAGATCACGAAGTGCATTCTAGTACGTGCAATGTTTTCGGATTTACCTGTACAAAGGCGTCAGATTTGAATGTCTGCCAAGAGTTTCCAGACAGTTGTAATGGATTAATTGGTGCCATACAAACTTTATACATATCCGACACAACGGATACCGAAACTAATCCGTATAGTGAAAGTCGGAGACATCGAGAAGCAGCTTCGCCTCAGCCGAGCAACGTTAGTACATCGACAGCCCATTCTAGCAATAGTGATTCTGGAATAGGATTTAAAGATGACTACGGTAGTCATTCAGATAGAAATGGACTGGCGGAATATCCTCAAGGACGGCGTTGTTTATCTGATTTACAACACGGGGTATGTTGTTCTCAATTATAATGTCTATATTTCTTACGTTTCGTTGAAGAATAAAGAAAAGCGTATTCATGATGTCGTACAATGGACACGTTTATGCTGGAGTTTATATGAGACCGCTTGGAGAATTAGATTCTCATAGGTGTTAATTCCGTGTTAAAAGAATGAACTCAGTCCTCTGTTTTATCTCGAAAATATATATTACTCAAAGTCCATAGTTAATGTCGTTATATATCGCAGTTTAATGAGAAAAAAAATGACTATGTAATCATTTTATGAGTTCTTCAGGTGCCCTAATTAAAATAAAACGCTATAACTATACTTTTATCTGAACTTCTACCTGAACACGCGAATTCGAATTGGTACTCGATAATGGTAAGCATCCGAATAAACAAGAGGTGGGTTGTATATTTAATACGTGATGGAAATATAGTGTAGGTGTAACAAGTAAACGTTTATCCACGCAGGATTTTCTCTACGTCAAATATATGTTTATAAGAAACATCGGTTTCACGTATTAAGGTTCCGATGTGTTTGTACCCAATCGAGACGGAACGTGTATTTTAACGTAACGTTTTTCCGTTAATCGACAATATAGTTAACGATTATGAACAATCTTTTATAAGCTCGCGTTGTTTATAAGACGCTTGCGAATTGAGTTTATTCCACGTACTTTACAAACGTGTTGTATTTCCTTAAAATGTAACATGAACGAAAAGTTAACGTGCAAAACACGTTTTTCTACAACACACTTTATACGATTAACAATCAATAATTCAAGATTATTTCTAGCCGTGTATTCGACTACTTCGCGTTTATTGCGGCCTGTTACATGGGCATTATATTCTGCTGCTTGCTCAGTTTATACCATGGCGTTAGTTAATTACCTTCAACCCGCCACATATCTATACCTAATTGTGCAGCATTTTCTGTAATACATCAATCCTGTATTTTCCCTTTCAGAATTCAGCGGCGCCGTTGTCAGGAGCGCTCGAACCCGCAGGCTCTCGATTGACCGTCCGAGCGACGTCGACTTCGCCGAGGTGGACGGACAGGTTAAAATCCGGTTACGCGAAGGATACGGAATTTCTGTACGAGGTCGAGAACGGAAATGGCGCGCTGAAGAGTTTCGGGAGTCTTTCAAAAGACGAGGAGGCCACGTGTGCAGGGGTAACCCGTGCCACGGCGAACCTGGTAACACGGTTCGAGGGACAATGCGCGCAGAGAGGCGGGGGTACCACCACCTGTCCTGGACCATCTGCTTCGGTGGTTATGCAGGGCTCGGCCAGTTCGTCCGTTGGTTCCCTGGCGTCCGCTTGCGGTGCCGTCGAAATCCTACGCGGTGGTGTGCCCACCTCGGCTTCCTGTGAAAATCATTCGAATGCCCTCCAGACCATGGATACATGCAACAAACTCAGTCCTAAGGTCTACTGCAACGTCGGCAAATCTCTCATACACAGTTTGGAGGATCTGAAGCCGACCGCCACGGAGTACTCCTCTTCGCTCGTCCATCCCTTTGCAAATAAGGCCGAGAAACCGAGATGGGGTAGCTTGCAAGAGATACGCAACGTCCCAGGATGCAGTTTGGAGAACTGTCGGGTAAGTAACTATGCAGTTCCGTTGGTTACGTGTTGTACGTGCGACGTGTCTGTGTCGATGGTTGGATATTTAACCCTCCGATCCAGTCTCTAATTGAGTGGCTCCGTATATGGACCGTTTAATACTTATTTAATTGCATTGAAAATATTACTGATCGTTAATGTTTATATTTGTGCGATATGCGCAGATTGCGGAAGATGCCATTAGTAAAATATTTCAGTTATGCGGCTGGAGATTTTGTAATCGAAGTAAAACGTATTAACGTATTTTATTTTGTTTAAGTTGTATCCACAATCGATCAGACTGTTTCATGAATCTTTATTTGACATTAAAAATGAAGTTTCCTGATTATCTTTGTGTTAAATGATTTTTTTTTTTTCTGAACTTTCAATTAATTTCTTTAGAAATCTGAAAATGACGGCTAAAACTGTGTACTTCTTTAGTCTTTACGTAGTACTTTTTAACAGCCGACCATACGATTCCATTCTTTGCAGAGGAATGTACGCGTTCAAGTATAGTCGGAATCAATTTATACGTAATTTACTGATATTACTTTTCGTGCGCTAAGTGGCAGTTTCACATTAACTAATGAAGGAAGTACCAATTTATTTCAGAACTTTTGTTCTGGTTTTCCTACAATATTTGACAGTTACATTTGCAATGTATAAATATGTTAGAGAAATCAAAGTTGTCGTAACAACATGCAGTTATAAAGGTTTTATTTAAAATACAGTTTTCTTATTTACTGAAAAGGGAATAATAAGAAATGTGTTCAATAAGGTGGAACGGATAGCTGAAAAATTCATCGAGCGGGCACATTTATTATCTTTGATTTCTCTGTCAACAAATATTCGTTTTAGACCAGCTGTACACATATTAATTTCTCAGACGTTTCTTTACGCTAACTTTCAGAAATAATAACGAAGTAAAGGGTATTATTGTTTGGATTTAGATATTGCTAAAATATTATGTTATTGTTTACCAAAAGCTAATGATTGTTTGGCCAGTTAATTCGATTCGGTGGAACGAACCTTTATTAAAAGTATTCAGTCTCAAACGTGCCCTTTACAAAAGCATTTTCATAAAATAATGGCTGTCAACAAAGGTATTGAAATTAATAATATTATAAAAATGCTAAATCTTTCATAAAAGTCTCTAGCCTTCGTCATAACCCTAATTTCTCTTGTACACGATGAAACGTACATTGAACATTGTACAAAGTACAACAATAAAAATTGTAATTGATAATTTATCTTTAATCCATTACAAAGTTAACATGTTACTAAAATTGATTTTCCGTGAATATCAAATGAAATTAAAAATGTAATTAATTTTTCGTGAATTACGTATTAGATATGTAATCAGTAATTAAATTACAATCGATTATAATTGAGCCTAATCCTGAACCATACACATCGTATGTATGAATGAATTACGGACAATTCTCCGGTACATGATCGATCCGTGTGTACGCTCGGTGCTCCCTATTCGACTCTCCCAAAGTAGCGCTTCACGATTGGGGCAGAGCGCTTCATCCCGGATGATCGCCAATTGACTCTTGCCGGGATGGTGGGAACAACTTGATGGGAGGACAAAGAGGCATTTCAGCGCGCGTGGAATGCTACATCTCGTAAAGGATTGTCGCTAAGCGTAATTTCAATTCGAAAACGTCTTCCGGAGTTCGGTTCCACATATAAATTTGTCAGATCCTTTCGACTCGTGTTTCAAATTCTAAATTGGATTGGATTTTGCAATATTTTTTACTCCCTTCACTAGTAACTATGAGCGAATTTATTTTAAACTGGACATTTTTATACTTCGACCAAAGAACGAAGAATGATATATCGCGTGATTTTACTTTTAGCCAATTTCAATTCTGTTCCTTTGTTCTAAACTGAGCGAAAATTACTTTTTAGAAAAAAGAAACTCTTGGGTCACTCATGCTTGTTGGCAACTATCAATAAAGTACGATTGAATGAAATTAAGGCAAATTACGAACAATACTTAATTTCCTTAGGCATAGCTTCACCATTTTATGGGCTTAAATGTATTAGAATGAAAAGTTGATTCACTTCAAAGATTGAAAGTCTTTGAAAGAATTAATAATATTCTTGCAAAAAGAAAAACTAGAATTTAATTGAATTATTAGTATGTCTGATGTTTTATTTCTCAAATGTCTAATAGTTACCGGGGAACTCGTTCTTGTATTAACCTCAAACGATATATACAACCGGGGCTAAGTAGTTTGAGTTCAATATAACATTCTATCCAAAATATGATACAACTTAGATTATTATTGTAAACACTTGAGACCAATTTTGTACATGAAATTCTTTTCGCAAAATCATCTCTTCTTGCTATTAATATGTCATAATTTGGGTAGCAGTGTCGATGATGCTTACAAAATAAATTTTACTGGAGCAAAGAAATTCCTTTAGCAAGAAACGTTTAGATCGCGTAATTAATATCGTTTAGAAACTACATTTTTCGCTCGGAGTAGTGGAAAAGTAAGTATCGGGGAAGAAGCCGATAGTATCGGTGCCAAATGTATTCAGAGCCGAAACGAAAGCAACGAGTAAATATACTCCCATTTGCTTCCACCGGTTTATCCGTACACGTGGGTGAACGGTCGATGGTACTTTTTGTCGAGTCGCCGTGCACGCGCGGTGGCACAAGTCGAGGCCCCATAAGAACGCAAAGAGTCGGTACGGAGAGAAAAAGAGTTTCCGGGTAGTAGGCGTTCGCGCGCACAGATGGCGGGACGTCCGAGTTCCGCGCGGCTCGGACGCCTTCCGCTTCTCTTGGACGGTGGCAGTGCGCGCTGGTAACGCACGTAGTCGACACGTCGGCGTTAGCGCGAGGGGAAACGGCTAGTTTCGTCTCGCCTTGTCTCGTTCGATCGTAATCTCCGCTTCGAGCGGACGTAGAATGGCGCGGTAAGACGCCGATCGGTACCAGTTCTCTCCCCTGGGTCGTAACGAGCCTCGAGGCTAATCCTCTCGTGGCGCGCGGGTGTCGGCTTATTCCACTTACACGACCGCAACGTGAGTCCCGGTCGCGCGCAGTTTTTCAAACAATTCGGGATAGAGTGAGCGTAGAGTGAGGCCGAGCGTGGTTACGCCGCGAGACGGCGAACGGATGACCGGGGCGGAGCCCCGTTTTAACGAGCGATGATTCCCGCCGATCGCCGTGACGCGCGTGACGCGCCTCCTACTTTCCTAGACGCGGCCGAGTTACCTCGCCTACTAGATCCTCTCTACGAGCCCGAGCCGGAGGTGCAGAACCGACCATTACCGATGCTTGACTTTTCCTCGGGTCGAGCCGCTTCTAGAGTCTAGATCTGTATTTAAACCGGCGCGAACCTTTGGAAGAACCCTTCGTGAATTATTCAGGGTTTCGGGGACAGGAAATTCGCGAGGAATGTATCAGCTGACACGGTGAGAAATGAGCTCAGGATGTGTTATTCCCTTTTTTTTTTTTTTTCATCGAAGATGAAAGGATCGAATCGAAAGGGAAATTTATTTACTGGTGGTCGAGGTGATCATGTCTAATGGTTTTGCCACGTGTTGCAACTGTGTCATGTTGTTAAAAATGTTAAGGAAAGAAATTATTACGGGATATTTATTGGGTTGGAGGTAATGAGAAGTTTTTCCGACGTTCGTTTTTAACCCGCTCCGTACATGTATTTATTAATAATGTGGATACCTTGACGGTATTTATGACTCGCTTATTACCGGCAATCACAAGTTATTCAAAACAATCCAATGGGTACATTTCGCTATCCTTAGAAGGAGATAATAAATATTGCTTGTACAAGATTTTAAGTATTACGTTATAAATATTTCACGGCTTTTTAAATGTTTGTATTAAGTTCATAGGTACTTGAGTTAAATTATGCTTATTGCTTAGTTAGCTGTAGAGCTATATTATCATCATAAAATACATGATATGATTTAGAGTTTGGTTGAGAGTCTTTGGAGAACTTGAAATATCAATTATTTGTTTCTTTTATCCATTTTTGTTAACATCATATAACAAACAATTTTGGGGGTGTAATGCAACAATCTTTGCTTAGAAACATTCCCAATCTGCATGTGTGCTTACGATGAATAATGTCTCAAGTGTGTCAAGGACATTCCGCGTTTTTTCCTGTACAAATCTTATGCATTTTCGTCCTCATGAATTTCTATCCAAAGGTAGAAGGTTATTGAAGCAACTTTAGGATAATATATGTATTAAAAAGGATGTTTCATTAATTTCTCTAATTTTTTTTTTTTTATATAAATGTTTGCAATTTAATTCTGAGGTGCAATGTACTCGTTTAGATTTACGGCACAGTTACGACACGTGTTTCGAAAATTAAATAAAATCGTGAGTTCATTCATTCATTCATTCATTCATTCATTCATTCTTAAGCATTTTATTATCCGGATGGAGATTGTAGGCCAACCCATTAATCATGCTCCAGTTTATATCATTATTACTAGTATGAAGTCATTTTCATGATCTCCACTTTATCTGTACTCTGTACAAGAGTACTTTACATTCTCAATACTTTCAAGAAAATTGAAGTAGAACGTAAGAAAAACCGTCTATTTCCTCGCGATTACGAAAATTGTTTATCAACTAACGTTCGATTCAATTTACGCGAAGGTTATTAATATAACAATATGATTACCGGCGTGCTGAAGACATTGTTCACTTAGTTCAGAATCAATCACGTTATCCTATTACAATTAAGTATTATGTTGAGGAATAAGTATCCCACCGTTTTACTTATCTTACTTAACGTTGAAAACGGCGGGAAGTTATTCCTCAACCTAATATATTATCGAAAACATTTGGCAAAGGTGCACAGTTAAAAACACTATTGAAATTTTATAATATTTTTATTGGAAGCTTCATTCAGACATGAGATATCAATTTGATGACATTTTCAAATTAAATTCATAACGCGTGTTGTAGATTTTATGAGATTTTTTTCTTGTTCTTTTGTAATA